TAAATATGAGCCCTAACTGTTTGCTCTAAAGTAAACTGACTTGCATGTTAGAGGAGCAAGATAATAGTGCTTATTGTCTTGAATTTTCATTACAATTCATTGACAAAATGGCAAGGTAAGTATATTAATGTATAACTATTCTACGCAAAAGTATATACAATTATTTCTTTATAGATATACTTTCATTTGATCTGATCTACCTCAAAATGTTTATGTAAAACGTATATTTGAAATGTATGTTAAATAATATAAATTACAGATCGAAATATATTTGCATATAAAGTATTTAATACTTTAAATGCCTTTTCTTTGAAATTGAAGTAAATTTTCAGTAAGATGTTTAAGATGCCGACTCGGGGTGTAATTGATGAGTGAGTATATCAGTATATCGGAAAATATAACGAAATTGTATCGCTTTCCAGGCGATTATAATGGAATTATTCATACAGCATCTATGAAACTGAAAACCAAAATTGCCGAGTTAACATTTTTTAATTCCTGCGTTTGCTTTCTTTGGTCAATTCCGATGTCCCACGCCGTTTTCTAAGGTTTTTTCCGGCGCTCCTTTTTGATCCTGACTCTTTGTCGCCATTTGTCTATTTATTCTGATGTTTTGATGTTTCAGCTTCTGCTTTGTTCAATAATCAAAAAGAACTTTCCTTATTTCTTGCAAATTAGGATAGAAACAGTTATTGTTCCGTACTACAATTGAAAACGCGAAATTATTTTCATGGAGCAACAAATGAGTGATTGCAAATTTGCTACATCTTTCTTAGATTTCTATTGTAGAAGATATCCATTTCTCTCGCGGAACCTATTAGTGACGAATTTAGTGTACTGATCTTCTCAGACACCCTGCACCCTTAGCAACCACCCACACTAAGAATATTCATTGTATTAATCTTCCAGAAATCTGACAAGCGCTAGTTAGTCATTGTGATAAGATTTTATTTGTTTCAAATACCTCAAATGTACGATTAAGAAATAGATTACCTTAGCTTTGAGACCGATAATTACTCACAACCTCGGTCCCATACTTACGAGTAGAACCTACTCAACGCGCCGGCAAGACGCTTCCCCAGGAAACGCCAGCCCCGCACGGCCGGTCCAGTGCAGCCAGCAGCGAGGACGCGCCAAGCCCGAATTCGCACGTGCAAATCGTCGGCCGGCGCAATCGCGGCCCCGGGCGGGTGACGAGGCCGAGATTTCGGCCAGGGGGCGGTTAGACGTAACGGTCATCGTGGGCCCGGGCGGAGAGGTTCCCTGTGCCCTGGTCCTGGCTCTCGCCCTCGCCCTCGCCCTCGCCTCGCCTTGGCGTGCACCCTCGCCCTCGCGGGGAGCGTCTTGGGAGAACCAGTTCCGCCCGCGACGCCCTCGCCGTTGGAGCGCGGGGGCCGCGCGGCGCGAGGGCGCGGGCGAGGCGGAGCGCGCGCCGGCCGACCGCTCGCACGCTCGCCCGCCCGCTCGCCCGGGAGACGCCCGCCGCGCACACGCCTCGCCCGCTGCTTTGCCCGGCTTCCTCCGCCTACGCCGCTTCGGAAAAAATTAGGGAACTGACCTTTTTTTGTTTCGTCCTACTAATTACAATTTTCGGCAGTTTTTTAACATCTCATGGACGGAATAGGTCAAGGGTTCTTAACGGGGTCGATATAGGCCACTCTGGGGTCGACGAAGGTTTGAATCTAGGGGTTGATTGGGGGTCAAGAGCTGAAGGAATATGAATCGACGCCTGATAAGAATACTCAAGATCCCATTGGTTATAAAAATTAATAAAATAAAATAATTGCTTCTTGATACAAAGCAAAATCATATAATAATAAATTTAAAAAATATTTTATATTCGTTCCTATCTGTTTCATAGAAATTAAGAGGTTCAAAAACTCATGATATAACTATTTATTCACAACGATGCTCTATCGCTCAAGAAAGTACTTTCCGCAATATGCACTAAAATATTAATGTTAGTTCTTAAAAAAGGTTTTGTAACCGCATAAAAAGAGAATTATAAACCCATTTACTAAGCGGAAGAGTCTTCGATTATTAAAAATAGAAATATTTACGAGAGTGTAGGAAGTGTATATTAGTGTAGGAAATAGTTGTCGTTAAGACATTTAGGTGCAATACTTAATGTCATGACTGTGGATTCTGAATATTATAGAGGAATCACAAGGGCAATGAAACATACACAAATGCCTTGGAAGGGGTCTATGAAAGAAAATGGCTAGAAATTTCTGGAATAGAGCAATACTGGACACGTGTTTGAATCTTATAAAAAGGTATTAAAATTTGAAAAATTCGCTAAGACAATACTTTTTCTTCTTTGAATTAATTAAGCGTAAGAAATTGAAGAAAACCTGGCCCAAGTGTATTCTACTCAATGAGATGCAAACGTAGGTAGAAACTTCAAAATTATCAAGAAAGTTTTTTACATGTTTCAAATAAACTATCAATGTCTTGAAGCGGGACCTGAAATGGTTTCTTAATACGGTTTGAATTACCGGATTTGTTCTTACTGCGAGACGTATTTACGTAGTATTGTCATGAGGAAAGTTAAAATTGCTCGTTTGTATTGCAAACCGATATATTACTAAAATAGGTATCACTTCTTTGTATACTTTCCTAACTTCGATTATCAAACAACATTGTTTATGTCACCCTTCGCAAATGTATATAAAATAAAATAATTGTTGAAACGTAATTGCTTTCTGCACGCCAAATGAATGGCCAAAGAATTGTTCCATATTAGAGGCAATACTTCATAAATTTATTTACGGTATATTAATGTAGGTGATGTTTTACAAAGTTGTTTCAACTGAAGTGTATCGAAAATATATTGTGAATAATATTAATATTTTAGTATAGTATTCTCGTAGAATGGTACTTTTGTATCGTATTCTCATCCACAAAATGCTGTCATTCCCCCTCAACGATTCCCTTACTTATTTTCAAATAAGATAATCGAGAATGAATTACTTATTTAGTACTTTATTTGATGTCAAAATAACACTTAAAAACTGAACGTGGTAGATAAACAACGTACAGACACTTTCTTGGCCTCCGAAAGCACTATCTCTTCATATTTACTAAACAAACTTGAAACACACATAAAGGTATCAACGAGCGTTTTTGAAATTTGATAATATTATCACGAAATATTAACTTTCATGAAATAAACTATTTTAATTGACGAAATAAACTATTTTAATTGAAAATTCCTTTGATGCTACTGCAGACGAAATAACTGAACTCCTCACCCTTTGGGGCACAAGATAGCATGCGCAGATAGCGAAGCTGCATCCACTTTCCTCAAGCAAAACAAGGATCCATCGCACATAGCAGTATTAAAACAAAACAAAATTGACAAATAAGACAGACATCTATTTCTTAAAACCGGAAGTCAGAACAATTTTATTTCCTCTGTTATAAACAATTATTCTTCTTTTTTATTTATTATTTTTCTTCGTAAAGAATCGAATAATAATCACTTTTTGATGTCTAAAAGGTTATTGTTTTTCCCAAATTTGAAGATGTTCAATAAAAGAATAATGTTCTGAAAGGTATATTACGCTTTACGTAATTGGAATTAAGAACAATAAACAGATCTATCAACCTAGTTCACTGTTCTCCAGGCACTGTAGATGGTTCTCTTCAATAGTTATCTGCCAGATAATGGGGTAATTCTTTCAGGAGAAGATAATGTAATTATTTTAGGTTACATATATTATTTTTATTTGTCGATTGAGTTGTGAAATCTATATCATTGAAAAATGGAGCTTACAATTTTTTTGGGGTGGGGGGTTCTAGTAAATAGGTCCAATGAATAAATATGGGAAATAATGAAGCGATGTAAATGAAAATATTGAATATTTAGCTAAGAACACACATAAAGTGTAGTTGAGTTATATAAGATGAGGTATGTCAAATACGTGATAGCAAGAAAATCAAATAAATATTAAAATGTATTAAATATTTTGGTATACAATAGTTTTATCATATTAATCTTTCTCATAAAAAAGGTCGAGAATAGAGGTTAAAAAGCGTTTAGAAAACTTTTAGGGACGCGTTTTGAATTAATATTTCAAACGAAGTATTTTTGCATCTACCTTTGTGTCTACGTTTGTTTTTTTTTGTTTAATAAAGCAAATTCTGATTTAATTTCTGCAATAGTTCTGAATGCAAACAATTTCCTGCTTTTTTCTAATATTATCTGTTTATCTTCTCTTAGTTTACATTTGCTTGTTTTTCTATGTATTGTCCTAATACTTGCTTCCTTTCCTGCTTTTAGTAGACAGCATTGAAGTGAATCATATCTTTCTTGAATACTTCGATGTGAGTTATTCTTAATACAGGCGATATTGTTTATCAGTTCTAGTTTGTACTTGGTTCTGTCTATATTTCTGGGTATTTGATTGCTGCAACTAGGATAACAGAACCTTCTTAACCTCTTTAAATTTAGTTCTGCACACACCATTCTTTTTCCTGAGTCACAATTTAAGGTGTCGATGACTTCTGTATTGAAAATACAATGTAGATTATTCGAAAATATATGATATATTGACTTAGTTCCTTCACCAGGAGAGATCCATGTCCACTTTCCATTTCGGTTTCATGGAAGAATGTGTTTGCAATTTTTATGTTCTGGCTTATGGCATAATGGATCAGTATATTTTCCCTTTCGTTGCATTCTTCCATACCGAATCTTCCAATCGCTTCCTCCTTAGGGCATTCTTTTCTGCCTACTTTGACAATAAAATCTCATATTATTAGTTTTAGTTGAGCTCTGTGTTCAGAGCATTGTCGAGCGTGTAAGAGAATTGGTTAATTTCTTCACGTGTACTTTGTGCTGTTGGAACATGGACTTGTAAAATTAGAATTGTTTCTATTGCCTACCTTGCCTCTCTATTTTCATTTTTTGTGATTCTATTATTACGTTTATGCTAAATATTTCTTCTACGTTCTTTTTAATCCTCTTGTGATGATGAAACCTGATCCTCGCTGACCTTTTGTAGTTTCAATGTACAAGAAAATGTCACCATTTGCTTTTTCAATAATAGCGTCTCCACATTTTCTTATTTCACATAAGTCAACGACATCGTAATTGACTTCTGATAGTGCTTTTTCTAATTCATATTCACTTTCAGGTGTTTGTAAAGTTCTACAATTAAAGTGCTATCATTAGTCTGGTGTTTCGTGTCTCTTGAGCTTGATAGTTGCTTTTGGTTGGCTTTTGTTTCGTGATTAGCATTCTCTCCTCCTCCGGCGTTCTTTTAGTTATTTTAGACCTGGTATTTTCTTGTAGTTTTTTCCTTGAACTCCGTAAAAATCCCCCAATTTTTCCATTGTCCACCAATTTGAGTTTTTTGAAAACCTACCTTTTCATTTTTTCTTCCGTTCTTAATTATTGTACTGTTTGACAAATTGCAGACTGTTTATCTTTTTCTTGTTTTGTGGGATCAATGTAAATGTATGTATGTTTCGCTCTAAGTTTACTCTTGATTCGTAGAATTTTAGTTTTATTTGTGAACTGAGATATTTGTACACGAGCTATTCCTCTTCCTGATTTGTCTCTTCCTATGATGTAGGCATCTGTAGTACTTTTAGCCACTCCTTTGCTTGCTAAAATACTCTCCACTATTTCCTTGGTTCGAACTTCTTGTCCTATTACAAATTCTGAAAATTTTAGTCTGTTGTTTTTCTTCTCTCTCTTTGTTCTTCTTTCTTCTTTTTCTTCTATAATTTGGAGTCGTTTTTCCAAGCTCTTGGTTGTTTTATTCATTGATATTATATACTCAATATTTCTTTTTAATTCTTCGGTTGTCACCAATTTATTTTTCTTTTAGTGCTATTGATTGATATATTACACTATTGATATATTACATAACAAATGGAACCCTGAAGGATAAATAAAGATATTTAGTAATAATTCATTATTTTAGGGTTGATCGTCGACGTTGACGTAAAAAGATACCGTGCTTTATAATGAAAGAAAACAAACCGATTAAATGAAAGAAAGTTGATTTCCTATTACATTCTCGTGTTTTCTTGTCATTGAAACATATAACAATTCTACTACGGTACCCATCTCAACGTTTTATATTTTGTCTGGGAAATCATTTTTACTTAGGTGATGTGCCTTCAATTTTACCAAAGTCGGCCTCACTCTTAAAATATATTTCTTTAAATATCAGGATAGATCAAGCAGGATTTATTAAAATAATTTTATCATGTGGTAAGGAAGACCAAAAGAAAGGAAATAAAAAATACTCAATAACTTCATTATGCGTTTAACAAATCTCACTCTACCTGAAAGAATGGATCACATTTGCTTTGATAACAATTTTTTTGTAAGCTAAGTTTCTTATCGAGTTCGAAACATCGAAACATGGAATATGAATTTTTCTCAATGCAACTACAGCATTGAACTACAATTCATCGAAATAAAATTCACTTGGAACTCTCCATACAACAGAAAACATCGCCTGGAATGTCAGCTTCAAGAATCTAATTTGAAGTAAATTGTTCCCTAAACACGCATGTGCTCTTTGTCGCATCTTGTTGATATTACTAAGAGTCAAACTTTCCTTGAATAAACGATCGTCGAACGAACATTATCAAATATGTTTTGTCGCCTACTATTTCTAAAGAGAGCAAAAAGGAAAGATCAAGAATTTATCTAAAAATTTGCAGTCAAACACGTAAATACGCAAATACAATAAAGATATTGTTTTTATATACAACGCTTAAGTTTTTTTTTAGAATACAGGTTGTTTCTAAATCCAAAGTACATGGAAACAGTTCGGAGATCATAATTATGGAAAGCAAACCTTAGTGTACAAACCTAATGTATATGTTGATTCATTCATTTGAAACGTAGCTCAATTTTTGAGCTCTAAATGCATTTGTCCAGACAATTTGTTCATTACAATTTGGCATGTAATAAAGTAATTGTGAATGTGACAATGTGAACATTCGTGTAATCATTAATTTTTCTCTAGGATTCTTTATGATGTTACACCACCTGTTGCAGCTGATAAACTCTTTTTGAATGTGTCTTGCAAATTCAGGTTTGAAATAGATACGAGAGAGACAAATAATATACAAAACGGACGTTTTAGTGCAATAAACTACGTTTTATTTCCTCTTAGACGTACAAAAAAGTACTTGTTAATAACATTACTGGGAACTGTAACTGTTACTTGTTCAATACAGGCAAGTAGTATACTTTCCAAACGAAAATATGTAGTAATGTAATCTTTGGTTCCAAGTCTCGCGGTATTATAAATAGTAATGTATACGCTTGGGCGGATAACTCGTAGCTCACAAATAATGGGAAGGAAGAGCAACATTTTCTAGGTGACCACGTACATCCGTAAAAGTATGACCAATTCATTAATAAATTTTTACAACGTTAGTTTAGTAATCGAAGTGTTTTTGCTTAATACGTAAATATCACTTTAAACCTTCACTTTTATCACAAATAATTTAAAAAATAAGTTTTGAAAGAAAGTAAATATTTAATGAACTCTATTCTTTAGAGAGAAGGACGAATGCAGAAGTTATTAAAAACTACTATCATCGATTTATTTAATTCAATGTGGTTTTATAAAGTATTCATATAATGTTGCATAGGAAAAGACCAATAATTCTTAAGCTCATTAACATAACAAATATTAACATAAGTTAGGGGTCAATGGAAAAACCTAAATATTCTTCAAATGTTAGTTCATAACACTAACGTGCATTTCTGTTCTGAAGAAAAACACTCGGTTTGACTATCGATAAATTTCCAACCTGGGAACCTCATGTTCGACGTATTTATTGCAAAATGCTCGACTTAATGTATTTTCTACTTACTACATTAATGAATTTTGTTTATACAATGTATTAACTGTCAACTACTTTTATGAACGTTTTTACCTGTAAAAATGTGTACTAATTTCAAATGAAGTACTTTCCAAGCATATTCTTCACTGAACAAAAAATTGACTGCTTTATTCAACTTGACATTTATTTTGTGTTGCACTGTTGCACTGACTTATCTTTCAACCAAAACCAAAAAGAATACTAGTAAAATAATTTTGTTCCCTCATCTAAGGTAGTGATGTTGGTACTTGCGTAAGTTAGGCTTCAATACAATAACTTAAATTATAGATACGCATGTGAATATTACGAAACAAATTCCATATTTGCTTTGAAATGGGAAAGCATGTGCCACAGTTTCTTTCCTTCAAACTTTAAAAAAAACAAGCCTACCTACGTATATCCTACTTTTGTCATTATTTTTCGTATCTCTAACAACAATATTCCATGAATCTTTTCTATGCCATAACCCTAAAAGCAACAGCAATTTCTACATTTAATCTTCATAGAAACGCCCAGGACGTGTAATAATCCAGTAAATATTACAAAATGAAAAATACTGGAATAATTCCATAAAACCTTTAAAGCATTACTCCTGAACGTATGTGAATAGATGTGCAAAAATCCAAAGGTAGGATGCAACGTTGTAAATAGGTTGTTTGAAATGGTTTTCCCTGCTAACATTCCTAAGGTCACTTTCTTTTAATTCATTACTACTATATTACTTTAGATTTCGACATATCTAGTTTTCACTACAGTTAAAATAATACAGAGTAATATTATTTTGGAGCTTTGTATTAAACGTCATGTTTGTAAATATTTTCTTAGGATATTTATGAATACGTTATCATATTTATTCTAACACTGACAGATTTTAGATAACTACACAAAATGCTTCTTTTAATTATCGAAAGTAAGACTATACGGTAGTATACAAAAGAGACATTGAAAACTCAAACAGAAAACTGTTAATTGTGCGATCGATATTTCTATTTCTAAGAAGAAACGTTACCGTTTTCTTTGCGTTTATGGTTTCGCTATGTTGCGATTTAGTCATTATAATTGAAGAGTTTGCCTAGACGATAGTGTGTTAATAATTCTAACAAGTTTAGTTCATTTTGATTAATTCTACCTGAAAACATAGAGAGAAACATCTTATGACATAATATATTTCAGAATAAAGTTAGAAGACAAAGACAAATTATTTTCATTTTACAGGGTTTGCCATTTGTGCTTTACGAGATTAAGAAAATGGATCTAGAATAACGCAAGTCTTTTCTAGGGCTTTTATCCACCTGAACTATCGTTTCTTGGGTTTTTAACCAGCCCAATTCCGGTTACTTTCGACGTCCGATTGGGACATGTTCCACCACGCACTAGACACCAACACACATGCGGGCTCCCATGATCTGAAGTCATCAGGCCTGTAGTTCATGGATCCCGCATCACTGTACGTAAACTAATCGCCATTACAATTATCATTATTACCATCTGATGCGGCGTTATAAGCCTGCGACGAGATGTCGGTGATAAAAGAACCAAAACCAGAGTTTCTACCAAAAGTGAACTAAATTACTTAGTAAGAGATCTGGGTCTCTCAAAAGAATTGTCATCAACTCCGAGTTCTGTTTTGAAGGAGAAAAGACGTGATAGTTCGTAATAAAACACTATTCTGATAGAATCTTTGAAGAGAAGAGTTTTGTAAATACAACACTTTAGATATCAATTTTATTTATTGTAATAATATTGAAGAAGTAATATAAAAATAAAAAAGTTGCTATAACAAAAACGCATGGTGCTTATTTATGGGTGCAACCAAAAAAAAAACCTTAAGGTTGAATTTCTTCACATCATCAAAAATATGTATCGATAACGGTATAGTTTTAATTTCTCTAGAAAAAAAGGTAGGAAATATTTTCAATTGTGCTAAATGCAATAAACTATTCGGAACGCAAATGAGCTACTTGTGGTGATCCGTAAGTTATAGTAATGCTTCTTGGCATCCCATTTTTTATACCTATGAGATGTTTATGTATGTGCTTGCTTGATTGAACTTTTAGGGCATATCAATTTGTCCCATTTGTGTAGTGAATGTTTCATCCCGAGAGGTGTGTTCCTGATTGAAGGTTTAAAGTTTTATCGTAATTTTGAGATGAAATATGAAGAATGACAATGTTACAAAAATACTAAATTGCAACACTCATTGCCTGCCATGCCCATATTTCAGTAACATAGATGTATCTTCGCAGGATTCGCACTCGGCATCGGGGATCATGTCTCAGACTGAGTTAGTATTTTTGTTTGGTTTTTTTACTTTAACTTTTTGTAAGAATAGAAAACGATACATTCAATAGCAGCAACCATTTTCATTTAAACTTTTGACATTTCAAAAAATAAAGATGTGTATTTTTTACTCTGGCGATTCGTTTGATTTAAAGTTTTCAAGTGATATCTCGAGTGTTAGTGGACGTTTTTCAAGAGTTTTTCTGAGATAGATAGTTATGTTTGTAATATTTTTTTATTACGTAACTACTAACAAAAATTCAAGAAAGTATGTGCAGTTGTATCATTAATTTTTTTTCCATAATTCAGATATATCTCGTATATTTCATCTTGTATTTTTTAATACATTTTTGGTGCAGTCGTATATTATGTTTCACTTAATGTATATGAACTTCACTTTGATAATTTTTTTTTAGGTGTTTAAAAAATTGGACACTCTGTTTCCCCTTTTTCATTTTGGTAAAGGCAAATGCTAAAGATTAAATATATTTTCTTGATTTATTTGTTTGACAAGTTTGGTTACCTAGAAAGAAGGAATTGATGGCTAGCTAAGTCACATTAATAAAATTATTACTTATCATGGTTAGTAGTAGTTTTATTACC